TTAATTCAACTCAAAACGCCACCAACATCTCTGGACTGATGTGACACTAGAATACATAACCTGTTTAAAAGGAGCTCAGTGACAGGAATGTTTCACCCTTTCCCACATTTAGATGGTTTGACCTTTAAAGAAATATACCATTTACCAAAAAAATGTCCCAAAATCCTTTCAGTTCTAGTGGAGCACAGTTGACCAGCAATGACACAAATGTGGCTGCATTATATAATAAACCAGGTAGACCCTAGGTTACCTGCAGTGTGCGGTTTCATAAGTATGCACGTCACTAGATCATCATTTAATGCTTGTGGCTCTTCATCTTAGAGCTGAGTAATTCTGCATTTACGAAAAGAAAACGACATTATTTTTTATGATTTGAGATTATTTGGATCTTTTATTGTTCTATATGTAAGATATAGTATGATATAAAAATGTATATCGTGCTTCAGCAATAGTTTTTTCTTTATTATATATATTAATATCTACATATAGACAAAGAACTGAAGTGATTAGTTGATTAATCAATTAGTTGTTTGACAGAAGATTAATTGGCAACTAATTTGATGATTAATCATTTATGTAAATTTTTCAAGGGAAAATACTAAACATTTGATGATTCCAGCTTCTCCAATGCGATGATTTACTCCTTTTTCCTGTCATTCATTACTGTAAAGTTAATATTTTTGAGTGTTTAGAGAAAAAAAAGCAATTTGAAGACATCACCTTGGGCTCTGGGTAATTAGGATGGGCATTTCCTACTATCTACTAATGTTTTTATAAACCAAATGTCATCAATCAAACAATCAAACAATGGAGAAAATAATCAGCAGATTCATCAATAAAGAAAACATCATTAGTTGCAGCCCTAATATCGAAACCATACCACTTTAAAGCTTTAACCCTATTTTTTTTCCTTACTGTAACATTTCTTCATATCTATTATTTACTACCAGCGAGAAATATTCTTTATATGGTGACACTTGCTCCTTCAAGAAGCAGATAAATAAACTCAGTATTTCAGCAGAAGCTTGCTGACGCCTTAAAACTCTGCGATCACTGTTCTGGATAGCTCTCTCAGATTTATACTTCTTCAGTCCTCCAAGGAATTTACAACTAAAGCTGCACAGCAATGTACTTTTGTTCAGGCGTTTCCACCACAGATACTACAAGTCTGAGGAGGCGAGGAAGACATTAACAAAGAAGCCGCCAGAAATTAAAATGTCTGTAATTTGATAAATATCTATAGGTCTCCTTGCTTTCTCTGCCCGCCCTCACACACAGTGCATTTCTACACAGTAAGCAAAGTCACAGCTACAAACATCATAAGCTGTTATTGTCAGGGTTAGTTGCTTAATGTGGAGCGTCTGTGAGAGGTCATTTCTCGCAGGATGAAAGGGTTGTCTGATAAATACGTGCTGTGTGCTGACATAATGTACTATGTTGCTCTGGGAGGCAGAGATAAAATGCTAAGTGAATTAGAAAACCCTGTGTTAAGATGACAGAGCAGCAGAGCCAAACACCAGTACAAGTAGTTATCACGTCTTTATTGTTTATCATTTTAATTTCAGCAACAACAGACACATGTTCTCTGTCCTCTCCTGCCCCATAGATCCAATTCAGGCAAGAAAAGTGTTAGTCATCCTGCAAAAAACAGCTGACCATACTTGAAATGTCTATAAAGCACTAGATTACTCTCATGTGCTAGAGGTTGTTTGGTTCATTTAGCATGCATGATAGCAATCACCACACAGAGACTTGGTTAGCTGCAGTGTAATTGCTCCTGGGTTCATGCTTATTCCTTTAGAAAATCTCCAACAGAGACATTTACTAGCAGCCTTTCAACTTTAACAAGCGCCACATTAGGTTTACACTCCCCAGCCATGGAGACAAGCAAGTTACAGTCTCTAGACTATTAATCTCCTGCTTGAAATTTACTTTCTGCCAAGATTAATCAAGGCATGGACACGCAGTCAATAAGAGGAGGCTATTTAGATAAGTGTAACCCATTATAATTACTTTAGAAGTCAGAGGCCTTAAGGTGTTGCAATTGATTCTGTTATCGCTGTTTTTTAATGTAAAGCACGTTTGCTATTTGGCTCGAATTTAAGAACTAAATTAACAGATTGTGGAGGCGCATAAAGACCTTTTACAACACAAGAACACATAATTATTGACCTTTAATTTGAACAACTATGAGGGCATGAATTGCAGCTGTGGACTGGTAAGTAAGGCTGAAAAGGTTAGAAAAAGGAAGAGTTTTCAGGCTAAATTGTCACCATAGCTGCATGTGTGGAGAAGAGAGGGGGAAGGGCTGGCAAGCAGCCCGCAGTCAATATCATCATCATCATTTCATTAGACTTGCCTTACACAATGGGAACGTCAGTATCTATCAGGAAGCTAATGTGGCAGTGATTCCCAGGGGCGGGAGATATATTTGGCACATCAGGAAACCACTGACAAGACTCATGGATATATAAGAGAGAGGAGTAACGCAGCTGAGAAAGGATAAATGGATGAGCGACCTATTGTGTGCGAGAGAGGAAACTTTTTTCTCCCCTCAAAATATTCACAAACAACAACAAGAACATGTCCCTAGTACAAATACAATTAACGCACAGAAGAAAGAAACGTGCAATGCAAGAGCCCAATAAACTTGATGGCCTTTTGTTTCATTTGCAATATTCCAATGGGTCTTGAATCCTTTGTGTGTGTGCCAGGTGTGAAATGGAGGGTGAACAGACTAGTGCAGAGACAGACATTAAGTGTTTCACAGTCTGGTGTTCAGAGCCAAAGCCCACCCACCCACCAGAGACAGAGGCTACTGTAAAAACACTACTGCTCCAGCACCCTATTATTTTACTGGCCTGATCTCTTTTTGATCAAAGTTTAATTATGCTTGTAATTTGAATTGATGGAGACGCTGATTGTGTAATACTACTAAATATTAATTTTACAGCCTAAATCAGCTGTTCTTTCCATACTTTATCTATCATTACATGCCAAATATAAACACTTACCTCTGAAACATTTAGCTTTATACTGAATAGAGCAACTGATATTTGTATAAACTGATTGGTTCAGTGGTTATGTGACCCACTTTGGGTGGGCATTCATAGTTACTAAACTGTGACAAACTATAGGATTTTATTTGCATTCAATTATTACAAGATTCTCCAACACCTGCTTCCAAATTAGCCATGTCATTATGCTTTGACACGTTTAACCTTCAATGATACTGCCGTCCATAGAGCAAAAAACTGCTCCCCCTCCTCTAAAGAAAATATCCCTCTCCCTTTAGATGTGGCAAGAAGTCAAGGGTTATTATTTCTATTACTCCATTATATGAGTAGTTATTCCTTTAATCTTCTGTTCCCTGTAACTTTACAAAGCAGCCAGCGACACCGGGTCTGTAATGATTGCTGCACTGAAGCATGAAACAAAGAAAGCAGCGTCTGCCTGGTGGAGGATGGGGAGGAGAACAGCCCAGTCCCTCTACGGCTGTGTCGAAATAAAACGCAGCCAGGCAGAGCCTTGAAATAGGCGCGTCAGAAAAAAATTTTAAGAGAGCACAGTCTAATGCGTTTTATGATAAATATCTTAAAAGTGTGAGTAATGAGAGGAGTGAAGGAATTGGCAGGGGGTGCTCGTGAAATCTCAGCTGTGAGATGATCAGCCAATAAAAAGTCCCTCCAGGGTGATTAATCTGACCAATGGCTGGTGACAGCAGGTGGACTGAAAAGAGAAAAAGAAAAGCAGGAAAGGAAAACATGCACGTTTACGTTAGAGTTTTATATAGACAATATATTCTGTCACACTGTGAATTTTCCTCCATATATTCTACTTATTTTGCATATTTTTTCATTTTTTCTAAACGTACCAGCAGAGGGACAGTTGTCTCATCTGTTAACAGTCATTCTTTGGCAGAGACTGATGAACAGCCAGTGACAGAAACTGACTGCCTTTTAACCCCAGTGTTTTGTTTTGGGGGTCATGAAGTCCCATGGGCCCTCTTTACAAAATACAAAAACGTCCTTAAAGGTCCAGTGTGTTGGATTTAGTGGCATCTAGCTGTGTAGTTGCAGATTGCAACTCACTCGCTTCACCCCTGATAATAAATGTTACACACTGGACCTTTAACATTTAGTTTTATTACTTTGATACTTTATGATTTCTCCTAATTTTATGAGAATAGTTTCTAAAAACATTTTGAATACAGTGTATTTTTATATGTTTTGTGTGATTAGTGTTGGCTATACTTTCTAGCACTGCTCCCCCCAAACCCAAATAATGTGAGTAGTATATTTGTTTGTTCATAATCTCTGACCTTGAATTAACAACACTATGTGGGATGTCATACTCTCTTTTTGGCAAACAAAGAGAATATATATTTGCTGTAAAACTATGACATATTTCCCTTTTTGGTGTAATAACATCATGTGAAGCATTTTGTCCTTTTCATCATTGTGACAAATAGAAGGCTTTCTACCTAAATTCTTTTAAATCTTTTGGGTTTTAAAAAGGTCAAAAGAAAAGAGAAACATTTGAAGGACTAAAACCAACTGCACACAAGTTAAGGTAAGTCTTCTCCAGTGTTGTTCGCCATACATATTTATTTGTAAAGTTCAAATGTCCTTTTACAAACTGCAAAAAATTGTGCCCACAGATGTTCTACAGCTCATGTCTTTATTAGTGCTGTGGATACAACAGTAATACTCTGCAAATGATGGCATGAAGTTAAAGTGCCTACATTGAATTTAACAAGGGATATCTCACCCCACTAATTCAGGAATGTACAATTGTTCAGTAAATCTTATAACAGTAGCAAACACTGTGCATTTCATTGTTCAAGCAAAAATTCTTAATGATAAATAATCCCAGTTTCTCACATTGTTTTTCTCAACATAAAGGTGCCTACATGAGCATGTTAAGACAAACAAAATTTTGCATATTATAGTTTTACTTACTCAACACGATTATAATACAGACAATCATATGTCCATAGAATAAAAGCTGCCCCATGATCATGGTTTAGCATTGTGCTTTTTATCATTAACAAAGCACCGGCAGTAGCAGCCGCACTGCCAGTCATGCCTCCCACATATAGTCAAGTGTCTCGACAACATTCAATCAGTGAATCACAATGACATTGCACAGTTACACAACATAGATTGCACTAAAGTTAAGGGCGGTAAGTTAAGTATTCTTATATAAACATCTGAATCCATCCATAAGGGAGAATAAGAGCCGTGTACATGTTCATAAATGTAACTCAACCCTTCTTTGGTTCACAAATACACTAAAAGACTTCAATGTTATTCAAAACATTGTGATATTATACAGTTTCCAAACAGGAAGGAGGATACATTACAAATGGAACAGAACAGCAGATAATCTATTCACAATTATAATATCTGGATATAAATAAAGTGATTCATCTATTACATACTATACTGTATGTTCGATTTACATATAGGATTTTCTCACTGTAAAACTAGGACACATTTGGCACAAAGGCAATGTAACAATACTATACACAATCTACACAAAAATCTCTAAAAACACAGGAATCAAGTACAGTACTTGTTACAATGACTGTGTTATATATTTCCACCTATGTAATATCAAAGGGAACAGCTAGGGTACAATGTGGCGGTGCATCTGGCTTGATAATTACATAGACGACATGGAGCACCAACAGTCAGTACATCATATATATATTATGTATATTTATATATTTTACATTAATATTGTTTATGTCAATGCAATAAGGTTCCCTACATTGTGCTCTGTCACTTGTGAAAAAATATTTTGATCTCATTTTGTTTTTATTACTGATCCTTATATAGTACAACAGTAAAATGACATTTTCTTATAGCTGCTATAGAAAGAATCATTCAAGTGCTCAGATATTCTTGCTATTTCATATTTACGTGCAAAGTAACCAGTGTTTGTTTCCACTTAACATACGCTTTTAGCAAGAATACCGGTGTTCTTTTGTGATTCTCTCAAGTTTTGACTTCAGTCACTCAGATAACCGTGTGCAAATGTTTTGAAAATATGTCATTGTAAAGACAGAAGAGACAGAGAAGAGACACACATGGCATATTATTTGTTTGTGCATTGCCAGAGAAAACCTGTAAGCAAAAAAATTTCAACGTCTTTATGAGACAAAAGGGACATGAAGCCAAGCTCGAGGCTCCCCAGGAGTCGGAAAACACCAGTGTTTGGGGAGAAAAAGGGTTTAGGTGCTGCTCTTATAAGTCATTCCCCAGTCGCTCAATTTCCTCGATGAGGAAGTCGATGTCTGACCTGGTAGCAGCGTGGTTGGAGATGACCATGCGGAAGAAGTTGACCTTGTCTCCTTGTGGCTGGTAGCCCACCATGGTCGTCCCAGACTCCATCATCAGTGCCTTGATCTTTGGGGCCACCTGTTGTGGACAACATACATACAGTGTTATGAATATGCACACATAACTGTCTGCGACTTTATTGTATGAATCCTTCAAGCCAAGTAGGTGCTATACGGATCAATCTAAGAGGGCAGGGGAGCTGAAAATGCAGCCTTAAAAAAAAGCAGATTGATGAGTCATTACCTTGTGCAACCTCTCTCGCCTCTCTTCACCGTCAGGCAAGCCGCGCAGGCTCGGTGGAAAATACCAGAAACACACATTAGTGTGCTGCGGCTGATAAGAGAAAATGGGAACAACATTTGTAATGAGTGCCGATAAAGCTGCCTTCTGTAATTTCAGCTTTTCTTGTCAACTTGTCAGCAATGTAAAATGGTCCAATCAATCCTAAAACCAAGATATTAAATATATTGTTGTAGTCATTTATCATAAAAGACAAACAGGTGTTTTGTAAAGCAGAAAAGTCCAGATAAGAATAGTATAGACAGTTTTCCATTATTGCTGCATCATCTGATATCCAGTACAGTGAATATTTGGGTGTTCAAATATTTGCTGGGTGTGGAAATAGTGATCTCACCTCCCCGTCGAACACCATCTGGTAGCCCTCTCTGTTCTTTATTTTATTGTAGAGGTACGCTGACAGATCCAGGCACTTGTCAATATGCTGTTCAAACCCTTCTGTTCCCTTTAAGGTAGATAAAAAAAACATAGGAGTTGTCACCATCACATTCTAGATAGGGCAGCACGGTCGATAGAGGCTTTGAACTGATATAATTCACACCTTTGCCTTCCACATAAGCCAGAACTTGAAGATGTCGACATGCCGTCCACACTGAATGGCCTTGTCACCTGTGTCGTATGTAACGTCGTACTGTTTATCTGGCTGGAAGAGGTAACCGGCACACATGGAGTTGCAGCCTTGTAACAACCCCTGCAATGGACACAAGCATGTTAAAAAAAATAAAGGTTACCAAACAGCAGAAAACAGCTGTCTGTGTCTATGTTTTGTATGTGCAGGAGCGGTATTGTGTGCAAGCAGCTCACCCTCTCTCTGACCAGAATGGCAGAGCACTGCAGCGGCACTCCCATCATTTTATGAGGGTTCCAGGTGACTGAATTGGCCCTGCACAGATATTGAAACAGTAAACACAGCTCTGTGAGTGTGTGTGTGTGTTTGTCGTGTGAGTGTGTGTGTTGTTGTGTGTGTATGTGTGTGTGATCTAAGAAGACACTGAACCCCTCAGTTTTATTGAAATAACTGTGTGCATGAGCCTTTTCTCTAAGTCTGAGTCTAAGCTTGTTCACTATTTTGCGCAGATTTTAAAGGGGCACTCCAGTAATCGACTATTGTACATCCATGAAGACGGAGTCTGTCTTTCTCCCTGTCCTCTCTCTACTGTCTACTGTATAATAATACAATCCTGATAAAAGGATAAAATGGAAAAAAAATAAAAATAAAAACCAATGACAAAATACATTCCTCCACAAGTGCAACCTCGTTTACCTCCTAACTGTATCGTTGACCCTCCCCGTCCATAAAAATAACCCTGATGACATCATTAGGTTTAGAATAACCCTGATGATGTCATACAGACTGAGTAGTGTTCACTGAACCTGATGTGTAAAAATACCCATTTAAAAAAAACATGTTTTCCTGTGTATTAATTGTTATTTGTGTGTTTATATATGGTGTTCTTTTACCTCTCTACTCCATTCAGCTTGTGTCTGTGTTTCCTGGACATCAACAAACCTCCTCCCCATGCTCCCTGCACAGGACACAACATATGTGTAACAGTAAGGATGCTAAATGTCTATTACAGTGGCTTAACAGATGTTATTTTGTATTGAAGATTATCGTGAATCTCTTACGTCCACATGAAGCCACATGTTGTACTTTTCACAGATGTCTGCAATTTCATTGATGGGATCAAAGGCTCCGTAGACGGTGGTACCAGCGGTGGCATTCACAAACATTGGAACATACCCCTGCAAACCAAAAACATCAAGAAAAAAAGAAATTGGCTACAATTCTGGGCTGAATTCAAGTTGTTATGTTCATTCTCTCTGTGTGATTGTTGACATCAAAGAGTTGGGCTAAAACACGTCTCAAATAATGCACTCGTATTGTTCCTTCCTCTTTCTATTTCTTCTAATCTGCCCATCACTTTGCCTTTGAAGGATTACTTCCAGGAGAGGTACTTTATACCGGAGGGCTGCATCACATGTGAGCAGACAGAAGCATTAACCTTACTGAAATAACCTCTCTGCTCCAGTACACACAAGTGTTTCCTTTGCTACAAGTAAACTCCGCGGCTCAGAGTAGTGTTTCTCACTGTGTAGAGTCACTAATAGAAGCAAATAAATAAGTTGATGTCTGAGTCATTGTTGCTGACATTCACCTTTTGTTTGGCCTCTATTACTTTAGCTTCCAAATCAGCAGGGATGACTCTCCCCCTGGGAAAGAAGAAGATACACAGTAATAAGTCATCCGGATATTTGATCTTTTACCCGACTGTCTGCACACGGGTCAAGTATAAAGCAAACCTCTCATCTGTTTTCAGAAGGATCAGGTTCTCTGTCCCAAAGCCCAGAGCTGCGCTGGCTTTCTTGATGGAATAGTGGCTCTGCAAGAACAAGCGTAATATCAGTCAGATACTGATATTAACTGTCAAATGTTATGTGATAAAAGTGCTTATAAATGGTCGGATAACAGTAATCAGTGATACAGAGTCAGACTTACATGCTCTGAGGTGAAGAGGATCAGTCTGGGTGCAGCTGCCATGCCTTTGGTCTTGACTTCAGGGAAGAACTTGTATCTGGCAATCATCACACTGTACATGTTGGAGATCGCTCCTCCTGTAGAAACCAACAGAGGTAGAGAGTAAATACTGTAGTACTTTACTTGAGCAATTCTGTTTTACTTTATTCTTATACGACACATATTTTGAAGGCAAGGATTTTACTTTTCACTCCACTACATATATTTGACATAATCAACAAATAAATGATGATGGGTCCAGGGATCAACAGGGGTCCTTGAGTGGGTTGTAGGGGGTCCCCAACATAATAAGGAACAGAATATTTTAACTTTTTATTATGTCTTTTGGCAGGTGGAACTACAAGGGAAGAGATATGGTTTCTTGTTTTTATTGATTGTAATGTGTGTAATGACTTTTGATAGTAAAAGAGTGTTTCTACACTGTGGTATTGCTACCTTTAAATAAAAGATTTGAGTGTTTCTGCCCTCATTGGTTTGATGAGATCTTTCAGTAGTGAAAAGATTAGTATCTGATAAAGTGTAGCAGAAGAGTTATTGAGCTCCTGTTCAATCGTGCGTTTGGCTCTCACCTGGAGAAAATATTCCATCGCCCTCTCCAACGGGCCAGCCAACAATCTCCCTCATCTTCTTCAGTGTCAGCTGCTCCATGAGGACAAAGACGGGGGCAATCTCATAGGTAAACCTTGAATTAACCGGAGGAAAAAATTATCTTAATATGTGATGAAAAGAACATATAGTATACCTTACCTTTATATTTTGTGTATTAATTGAACAATGTAAATAATTCAGTTTTCTCTTTATAGTTTAATTGTAGTAAGATTCAGTTTCACCTACAGACTGCAGGAGGGATTGATTGGATCAATATGAAATACACTCATATTTAACAACATGCATTTGTATACTCTAATTGTGCAGCACGGTTACTGAGCGGGCTGCTCCCTCACTGAAAATGGAACAGATACAGCGTTATGTACACAGTCACACTTCAATGACAGCGCCATCTTGTTGTTTTAGAAATGGCTTCTTGCTGCAATGAAATGACACAGCATATGCCACACAGTCTTCGGCTCATTGATACAGCAATCTTCAAAATATGAACAATGTACCTTACATGGGATTAACATTATTAAAAACATTGGAGACATAATAAGAAAGGTCTGCTGTGTCACTCACAAAACAAAGTTGTTTCAGGTGCCTTTAATTTTCTCACTGCAGGAATGTTTTTCATGTTCTGTCCTCTCAAGTATATAATTTTTTCCACATTATCAAAGTACATTAAAAACCCTCTGCCTCAGAGAAAAGCACAGTCGATTTTGGAATTACAGTGCAGGCGGGCTCATCCATCTTCTCCTGACCAATATTCTTCTAATTACATAAGTATCTGTCTATTCATGCAAAGAAAGTAAATGAATCAGTGGAACATTACAGAGTGTCGCATTGTGCCCCACAGCATCTCCAGTATACAGTAATATGGCGGAGGGAAAAAATAAACAAGTCAGATGCCACTTCGCAGATGTCGCACATTAATTTCACCGCATTCATTCATGCAGACAACGCTCACTCGTCCTGATTATGTAAGACCTGGATGTGATTGTCAGTCTATTAGTGTCAGTCAATATCTGCCAGGGGTAATTAGGGTTGATGGAGTAATTAATAAAGGTAAATTACAAGTATGTAAGCAACCTCCACCCTCTGGTTCAAGTCATCCTCGCTGATGTCGCCAATAATACACAAGCTACAGTTACAGTACTTCTTTGAGAAGGGCTGTGGAAGACAGGCTGATGGCTGAACCAGGCTTTGAAAACATGTCAATGTAAGTTTAAGAGCCTTGTAATAAAAGTGTTTAAACCTCTGTTACACTGTCAATAATTTAACCCTCAGAAGCTTCACTGTTGTGTACCGATAACAATGACAGAACACACTACAATAGAAACTATGATACCACTTTCTAATAGGGCAACCTTTATAAAGAGCTGTAACTATATAATTTATTGATCTATTATAAGCCATTAATAAGAAAATAAAATGGACAGATCCATTTTTCTGGCGTTTATACTTTCTATTTGTTAATAATGCAGTTATAAACATTATTAACCGTTAATAAATGCTTAATAAGTTGTTAATAAATCAGTTCTAGACCAGATCTTTTCCAGATGATGAGTGTGGCCGTACAGTCAAATCAGAGAAGGGATTTTTCACAACTTGGTACACCCATCATTTGTTCTTCTTATTAGCTTATAACTGAACTATAAAGAATTAATGAATGATTTATTAACCATTAGTTATAACTTATAAACCCTTTACAGAGAGTGCATTTTTAGAAAGTAGCACTGAACTTATTGACAAAGACCTCCAACCATTTACATCTATGAGCATCATGGAAACATTTTCATCGGTATTGTAATCATTGGACCTGAGACGTGTGGGAGGCATCTTGGACCACTAGGCCACCAACTTTTATCTCCTAAGTGAATCATTACACACTGAGCTACCAGTTTGTAAGGTACACTGTTACAATTAAATGCAATGTAATAAAAGAAAACCCCTGTGAACGCCTCTCAATATAATGCAGTACAATACCTCTGCAAATTACCTCCTCCAGAATGACAACAGAAATGATTCAACATCTATCTGACACAGAGGCGTGATAAACAAAAGAATTGGCTTATTGAAATGGCTAAACTCATTGTTGAGTCCTAGTAATGGCTGTTCATATTGTGCACAGATGGTCCGAGGGCCATGCCATGTCCCCTCCTGGCATTGTTATGTCACAGGAACTAGCACTGGATGAAACAAAGACAGCATGTAAACTGTGAATGCGAATCAATATGCAATTTAGTTTGCCTGCAGGGCTGAATTATGTGACCACAGCCTGAGAGCAGCCCAACGCTGACAATACTGTAGGGAGTAGCTGTACAAATGTCTTCTTTTGTGCTTTTCATTTTCTTTCTTGATTGACAATCTATTAGAGTGCACAGGGTATTCTTCAGCGAAAGACAATAATTACTGTATGTCACTAACTCTAACCGAGAGCCTCACTTATACAAGGGCCATTTAAAAACAATGAGTACAAAAAAAGCTTTTAAAATAAAGCGAACCTGATGACTTTCGAACTGGATCTAATTCTTACTGCTTACATCTCTTGTTATCTGCATGACTGCGTTTGTGGAGTGCAAAGATTATTGTAAAACTTAAGTGAATGATGTATCACAGTACTCACATGTTAGTGTTGGCCGTAGAGGTAAGCCACTCTCCTGCCAGCCCAACAATGTCTAATCCAGTGGACAGCTGGTTAAAGAACCTGGGGTGACCTGTGGTTGATGAAGAGAAAACAACGCAACATAATCTCCAGAAAACAATTAATCATATGAGAGTCTAAGAGAAAATGGCTTATCTGTAATCATTACACTGGCATGTAAACTAATGAGAGTTATTGATTGCAGCCGGGGCGCGCTGCGCCTTCAGGCCTCTTTGTTCTCACCTGTTCTCACTCCATACTTCAGGGTGTCCCTGCAGTCCACCAGGATCTGCTCCAGAGACTCGGGCTGGTCCGAGAGCTCCAGGTTGAAGCCCTCCATGCCCTCCAGGAGCTGGTGAGGGTGGTGGAAGTCCAGGACTTTGGTGGATCTGTCAAAGGTCTTCCGGACGTAGTTGGTGAGGATTTCCACAACCTCCAACAAGAACTGCATGGTCTGCTCCTCTCCATTTTTGGCGGGCAGTAGATCTACAAAATAAAACACACCCATAAAGTCAGTGTTTTGTTTGTTTGTGTCTGTTCTGGTAAACCCAAACCCAAAGATTGCACTAGTGCTGAGAATTTGTCACAATTTATTGCTTGAATTGCCTGTTACCTGTTACCTCAGCAAGTTGACTCACTTATTTGACGCAAATTCAACAACAGTTGCTTAAGAACAGCATTGAGTAATAAATGCCAATCCACAAATGCAATACAGGTAGTTTCAACAGCATTTGTTTCACTAGAGAATTATTTTACTTGCATTAACAATCTGATACATCAGGTTACCATTTACTTTTTCTTTATTATTTAGGCATTACTTAAATGTTTGGTCATTAAAAGCAATATTAAAACAGTTTTACGTTTTAAATGTTATGTTAAGTGTATAATGTTCAAGTATAAACACCGATCATCCGCTCTGATTATCGTCTCCAGCCTACCTCTGGCGAACAGGTTGGAGAAGTCGGTCTCGGTGCGGCTGAAGCGCGCCTCCCCGCCGCTGTTATCGCAGGACAGCAGGTTCTTGGCTGCGCGCTCCTTGAAGGAACTCACAATCCTGCTCCTCTCCTCCAGACTGTTGTTCTTCTGCAAAAATCCTAAACGTTTACAAGAAGGAGAGGAGTCCGCAGAGTGATTACACTTCCCATACATGTTGAGAGCCGCAGCTTTTCTAAATCTTTCCAAAAAGATTCCAGGCCCACTAATAATTCTCCTCTGCCTTCTCTGACTTTTATCTTCCTCTGTCTTTCTCCAGGGATCTACACTGCACTTTCTCTCTATCTTTTTTTTTTTTTTATGAGAAAAGGGTCCCATCCCACACAGGGAGTCCTATTTATGGGCGGAGGGCCCTGTGGGAGGTTGAGCTCGGTGACATCAGCACCAAACTCCAGCCAAGCAAAAACAAATCGCTGTCATGTAGAGGCTTTAAATTCTTATCAAAGCTCCTCCGACAGTGCGCACTTCGGCGAGGAAGCAAACAGCTCATGTAGCCGATGGCAACACAGCACCAAAGCGCATTTGATAATAGATGTTGAATGTATCAGGAAAGCCAGTTGGGGAGGTTGTAGTCTACAGTAAATGTGACAAAAATAACACCAGTTATATTATATTATAATATATTAATGCAACCAGAATAAAGTTTGGTTTTGGTTTTTTTCCTCCTTCCCATTGTGTTTTGCAGCTTTATGGGTAATTAAATGGACTTAATGAAACCAGCAGAACGTGTCGGACAAAAAAATAGCAGAAAATTGTCCTGCGCACTGGTGCATGACATCCACCATTATGGTAGATGTCATTCCGTCTTCGGTTAGTGTGGCATGAGACTGAAACACACTGAAATCGAGGAAATCCATCCTGCATAATTCCCCCTTTAACTTTACCTTTAAATTGGTGGTGTTTCGCAGTTGATGTTCTTTGCATTTAAAAAAAAAAAAAGGTAAAATATCAGAGTTGTAATGTAATAATCTAAACAATATCGTTTGATCTAAATGGTTTCTCCTTGTTTCGATCATATTTCGTTCAGGAGTCGGTGTAGTCTCCCACTGAGCCACGGGTGAAAAGATGCAGGCCACAGGCTTTTAGTCATGCTTGCGAACACTAAAAACCATCCCTCCCTGACAATTCATTTTTTTTTGCATAATCATATTTAAAAATAGAGCAAAAACGCGAACTTACCACATATCTTCATTCCCAATTTTCTAGTACATCCATGAGCAACTCCACACCAAGCATCATAGCCTGAAACGATTTTAACAAACCAATTATTGGGCCTCACAGAAGCCTACAAAAATGTATTATATTTGCATTCTGAACAATTTAATGCTGGAAATAAATGAAGAGGCGTATGAAGTGGACTGATGTCGCACAGTGAAATAAAAATAGCCAGCCTTGGGTGTCTTGGGATTATTTAAACATTAAACCCTCACTCCCCGGGCCCTCCTGGATCTGGATTAGCCTATTTCCACTCTATGTCACCGTTCATGACCTAGGCAAGGACTTAAAATTAATTAGCCGTTTGGATCCACGCCAGCCTAAAGATCTAATTGAGTGAAAAGATGCTGGTTGAAATGCGAGCATCAGTAGACATGAGCCGGCTGGCCAGTGACAGATAGAGAATTACTGCGTTATCAAGGGCTTCCAGCCAGAGAGGGGATGGGGGGCACCTTGGATGGGAAGCATAGACGAAATCCTCAAAAGCAGCAATTTAGGGGAGGAGGGGTGGGAGGAGGAGGATGGAGGATGGAGGGGGGGGGGCAGTCCCATTCCCACATCCCGATTT